TTTTGCTTATGTGGTGCTGAGGAATCGAACCCAGGGCCTCATGCATGCAAGGCAAGCGCTCTACCACTGAGCCACCTTCCCAGCCCTGTTCTACATCTTATGGGTCTTAAAATGAGCCCCATTTTTTAATTTCACCAGTAGATTTTTCCCAAATGACTATGGCAGAGTATTCAGATTTAAACATTCTTTATTTCTAGTGGACAACTGGTTAAAGGTGGGAAATAGTAATAACAACAGGATCCTTAAGCTCATCTAATTAGTGTTTACTCCTTCCTTAGTGATACACTTTGGGTTAGATAGCTGTATTACACAGTGGCCATCAGAATACTTCAGTCTAAATCATGCATCTACAACTTCCTAGAAGTCAGACTCAGGGCATTTCATGGTTTAGGAGCCTTGATTGTAAGGTGCATCTATAATACCAATGTCTTTGTCTCTACATGAATCATACATGGTACTAAGTATAAAGTACATAATGGAATGTGAGAATACAAAATTAACTTATAGCCCTACCCTAAAGGGCCTTATCCTTTAGTAAACAGAATAGAAAAAAACAGTCTTGTTTTTAAAACTGTGGGTTGGGAACTGGGATGAATTCAGTGCTAGGGCACTTGCTTAGCATATTGAAGATCCTGAGATAGATCACACATGCTACAAGTAAATAAATTGTAGGGCCTGAGACATATTAAAGTTCCTCAATTAGTGAAATCACCTTATTAGGTAAAAAGCACATTAAAAAAATGGAATGAAATAGAAATCCTAGTATATCAAAAGTAGAGCCAGGACAATGTTACGGGCAACAACAGATTTGTTGTCCATATTGCTTCTTTCTAAGTATTTTTTTTTCTTTTTGCCAACCCATCAGTTAAATGACTTAATGTAAAACTTTTTTAAGGCTGGGTGCTGGTGGCTCACGTCTGTAATCGTAGCTACTCAGGAGGCTGAGATCTAGTGCTGGTGACGCACACTCATAATCAATTCTAGCTACTCCGGAAACTGAGATCTGAGGATTATAGTTCAAAGCTTGCCAAAGCAGGAAAGCCTATGAGACATCTCCAGTTAGCCCACAAAAATCCAGAAGTGGAGCTATAACTCAAGTGATGGAGTGCTAGTCTTGAGAGAAAAAGCTAAAGGACAGCACCCATGTCCTGAGTTCAAGCCCTAGTAATGGTGCATGCACGCACACACACACACACACACACACACACACACACACACGATCCTTTGTTGCCACAATTCCATATTATTGTACTTATTCACTGCTTTTAAGTCCTCTTAGAGATTCTAACTGTATTGTGAATTTTTGTAATTGATTATATCTAAGGCTAAGTTTTTCCATACATGACTTTTATTGCTCCTATCTGCACAGTTCAATGTCAGTAATATGGATCCTAATCAGTAATCTCAACAATTCTGTGAACCCTATCATGAATCCGTAACATAAAGACATAGTCATGGGCTGAGAAGGTGGCTCAGTGGTAGAGCGCTTGCCTTGAATGCATGAGGCCCTGGGTTTGATTCCTCAGCACCACATAAGCAGAAAAAAAAAAAGACATATATGGAGTCTATTGTCTTGGATTTATGTTAAATAGATTCCCATACCTATTTAGTTTACTCATAGAAGTCTACAGCTTCAACTTGAGTTGATTCCATGGTTGGATTTCTATTTCTTTGTGCTGTCATATTTCTAAATGTCTTTTCTGTTTGATTCTCTAGACCTTTAACCTTTATAGGGATTGATCTTTTATTCATATTCTTACATCATATAACTTTATCTATAATAGGCTGAAAGATGGTTTCAAAGGGTATCTGTTGTCTCATCTGAGGAACCTATGAATATTACCTTTCATGGCAAAGGGAAGGTGGCAGTCTTTTTCGTATGATTTGGTTAGGGAAATTGGGATGGAGAGATTATGCTGTGGACCATAAATGCAATCCTATGCATCCTTACAAGAGGGAGACAGGGAAAAGGCCATGTGAACGCAAAGCACAGAGACTGGAGATGTCAGCTTTGAAGACTGGAGTACTGTAGCTATCACCAAGGAGGACCAGTAGCCACGAGCTGGAAGAGAGAGAGATGAGCTCTCTACCACAAACTTGGTGGCGTGAAACAACAGACATTTATTCTCTTGTTTTAAAATCCAAAATCAGCATCATCTGACTGAAACTGAGGTGTACGCAGGTCTGTGCTCCTTCTGGAGACTCTGGGAAAGCTTGTTCTTCACCCATGGAAACAGTGCAGTAGAGCCGATACCTTGATGTCACCCAAGTGATGTTAGTTTGTATCTCCAACTGGAATGAATTTCTATTGTTTTAAGCTGTCGAGTTTGTGGTAATTTGTCATAGTAGCTGGAGCAGATTTACATTATCTCTTGTTCAATATAGATTTTTCAAATGACTTTGCCTGACTCTGGATCACAACTCATGTAGTAGTCTACTGATGTAAAGTTTGTTTCATTCGATAGTTCATCTCAGAGACACTGTTTATTATGAATCATAATAACAGCCTTATGTTTCTTTAGGCTGCCAAACTTTTTGATGAAGAAGGAAGAAAAAAATTCTTTACACAGGATATGAATAATATTCTTCTGGAGTAAGTAATTTTTTATTAAAAAATGATGAAATTATCACAGTACAGTAGGCCTGTGAGATGAAGATGCTGCTATTAGGTATCTGCTCTTCCCTTTTCAGCCTTGTAAAATTAATATTTGTTCTTAGTAAAATTACGTGTCTGCACATATTGGTTTTTCTGGGCCACTTATACTAATTAAAACTCCCAATATTTAAAGCTATCTGAACAATTGACTTCTATGCAGTTGAATAGTAACCTGGACTTCAATGTATTTCTTCTTAGAGGAAAATGTCTTTACTAAAGCATGAACTATTTATATAAATTGGTATAATTTTCCATTTTATTATACTCAGACTTGAGGAAAATAATTCCATTGATACCTAGTAAACAAGTTATTATATATATGCGTATATATATATATATATATACATACATATACATACATACATATTTATGGCCAAATGGAAATTAGGGCTCAATGAAGAAATCCTGGTTGTTGGGTAGGATAGAAGTAATTTGAAGGTGACAGAGTTAAGCTAGAAGAAAGTAAATGCTGAGAAGAGAGAGAGAGAGATTATATTTTATATTTGGATTACCAGGTTTAACTGGTAGTTACAGGAATCAAGTATATAATTGCTATAGGCAGAACTATACAAAAAGTGATCCTGAGGAAAAGAGCCAGTTTTATACCTCTGATGAAGATAACATATGCTTACTCTGTTGGTTATAGTGTTATGTAAGTCACAGCAAAATAATGTTTCTAATACTATGATTCCTATCTTTTAAGCATATAATGGAGATAGTTTACTTATTAGATAAAAAGAACTGATTGGTTCATTAGTTCATTAGGTAATCAATTGTATTCTTTTATCCTATTGAACTCAAATGGACTCAGAAAACAAAAACCTGGTGTGCTAGTATGATGGCAGAGGACCTTCTCATTCTTGTTCTTCTTTCTCTCAGCCAGGGATTTTCAGGTTGAATGCTTCCTATTTGTGCCGCTGTCTTTTACCTAGTATCTCTTTGAAACTGCAGACTCAATAAACAGTGCAGCCATTTCTCATCAGAGCTGTCCCAGATTCCCCAGCCAGGGATCTTACAAGCCTTTCTTTTTCTTTCCACCCAAAAGCCTTAACTGTACTAAATCTGTTCTTTCTCTTGTCATTAAGTCCATCCACCCTTATTTTTTTTTTATTTTACTTTTTTTTATAAGAGGCAACAACTGCTTGTCCCCTAGGAGAGTCAAGAGACTCTCCTTGGGACATAGGATCTTAAATAAGCAAACTGTAGGCATTCCATTAAGACTTCTTTGTTTATTTTTCCTTATCTATTGTAAAACAGATATTTTGAGGGAACCCATCTGTTTTTTATTTCACTAATGCTAACTTCTTATGTTGAGTGACCCCCCATCCCCCACCTCCTCCCTTTTTAGTCACTCTTACTCTTCTGAGCCTCTTTTCCCACTGTCTAAACAAAAATGCTTCACTTTCTTTTTTTTTTTTTTTTTGTCGGTCGTGGGGCTTGAACTCTGGGCCTGGGCACTGTCCCTCAGCTCTTCAACTCAAGGCAAGCGCTCTACCACCTGAGCTACAGCGCCACTTCCGGTTTTCTGGTGGTTTATTGGAGATCAGAGTCTCAGGGTCTTTCTTGCCCGGGCTGGCTTTGAACCACGATCCTCAGATCTCAGCCTCCTGAGTAGCTAGGATTACAGGCGTGAGCCACCAGCGCCCAGCTCAAATGCTTCACTTTCTGGACTAAGTTGTTCAGTCCAAGGCATGAACTGATTGTTTGGGATAGTAAGGAAATTATTGAGGTATATTGATTTTACCTCAACATTGCTTCTTTGTGCTAGCAAGGAAAAAAAAAATCAATCTGTTGAAATAGGGAGTCTTTAAAAAAAATATTTTTGTAATTGAATTTGACCTGAGTCAACAAATATATAACATACTGACTTGATTTTATTCCCTTTTGCCCTGAAGTACAGGTTGTTAATAAATGATACTCTTATGATTCTGATTCTTCTCAAGAGTTCTGTTCAACAAATTGGCTTGGCATGTATTAAAATCACACTCAACACTTAACACGAGACCTGCCTGTCTTTGTTACACATGCTCCTTTCAGGTGCTTCAGAATGAATACTGACTCGAATCTCAATGTGAGGGGACTCAACCATTGCTTTCACTTCAGGGAGTCAACTCTTCAACTATCTGAGGATTGACTTTTGTGGAAACCAGTGACTTTCATTTTGTTTTGTGAAAACCACTAGCTTCTGTAAATAGGTCATTGAGCCTGCCTACTCTTACCAGGAATTTCTTAGAAACTGAGAATTTCTATTTCATTTTTAGCCTTCCCTTAAAAGTGTATGTCCTGAAGCTTGAACTCAGGCCTAGACACTATCCCTGAGCTTTTTTGCTCCATTACTTGAGCCACAACTCCACGTCTGCCTTTTTGGTGGGGAACTATGATTATAGGCAATCGCCAGCAGTGCCCAGCTCAACTAACTTTTAATATCAAAGCAAGCTCTAGAAGTCCTCCTAATCTAAGTCTAGACTTTAATAAAGATCTAACCACATGTTACCCAACCAAATGCTTATATATAGATCTCATGAGAGTAATGATTGTTTCCTATTTGAACACTTGCATTTGACCCTCTCATACTTATAAACTTCTTTCTGTTTTGTATCTTCTATTTAGCTTCTCTAATACCAAGAATTTTTGATGACTAATTCTTAGCATAATTTTGCACATTTATGTTTTCAAAATTTGAAGTTTAATAAGTAGTAGATATGTTTGATCTTGTAGGGTTTCTGTTCTTCTCCCAAAGCTTTTGAATGTGTCTTATAGTTATGGAAAGTACTTAAGTCTATTTGCACCTTTTCCTATAATATAACGTTTTGAACATAATTTGTTGCTGAAAGTGCCAGTTTGATGTTGACTTTCAAATTAACGTCTGTTTTCTTTCTGTAGTTACATCTGTAGGGTATTGTGTCTTCCATTTTGAGAGACATTTATTCATTGGTTTGACTTGCTAAGAATGTAACTGTTAAAAGCTGCTTTCTTTTTCTTAAATATTAGGCTGAATGCAAATATCACCATTTATTTAGTCTCAAAGCCTAACTTCTAAGTAGAAATGAAAACTGGAATTACAATAAATCAAGCAAACTATTTAAATGCATGGCTAATATAATACATGTTCAATAAGAGAAACAAAGATGGATAAACTAGTTCATACTTGGAGGAAGACTTTTTTTTTTCAGAAAAAATCCTGTAGAAACTCAGTAAAACTGTATAACTGTCTAATGTGAAAGTTGCCATATTATCTCTAAAAAAGAGATGAGCTTTTAGTTAAAATAATGTTACCATGCATGCTCAACCCCAAAACAGACTTTGCTTCATCACCAAAAAATTGTATTTCCAGATTGTTTGTGTCATATAGATCCTCCTCTTAAGCTAAAATCTTAAAAGAATTTTCTATATCATTGTTATATTTGGTAAAGCGTTTATTTCTATGAAAAATCCTATCTGAGAAATGAAAAGAACACTAATTGAGAACAGAAATTCACTGCCTTTGCTGGCTTGCTCATGTGATGTCACCTAAAAGAAATTCTCTTGTTGGTTTTCTTGGTAGCATTGAGTTACAGCTACAAGAGTTAGGCCCTGTCATTCGTAGTGGTGTCTACTCTCATCTTGAAGCGTTTGTGCCATGCAATAAAGAAACACTGGTAAAACGTCTGAAAAAGTTACATCTCAATGTCCAGGTAAGTCTAAGAGTAATAGGAGCTAGCCAGACAGGAAAGTCTGTGATAGTTAACCTCTAATTAACTAGCAAAAAAGCTCGACAAGAGGTATGGCTCAAATTGTGGAGTGCCAACTTAATTGGAAGTGTAAGGCCTTGAGTTCAACCTTGTACTAGTATGAAAACTTTGTTCTAGTATTCCAGAGTAGTATTGCTTCCTTATCATAGTGGGTATTTACCAGTAGTCTGAACAATGTAGATTTTACTCTCATTTTAATTATTTGTATTATAAAATGTTCCTATAATTTATAGATGGAGACATTATTAAGACTGTGAAGGAACCTGATTTATGGAACTGTCATTTCTCTACATCACTTTCATAATTACAATAAAATTTAGAAGATTTTTTTTTTTTTGGGTCCGGTCATGGGGCCTGAACTCTGGACCTGGGCACTGTCCCTCAGCTCTTCAGCTCAAGGCTAGCGCTCTACCACTTGAGCCACAGCGCCACTTCCGGCTTTTTTCCTTTTGCTTATGTGGTGCTGAGGAATAGAACCCAGGGCCTTGAGCATGCAAAGCAAGCACTCTACCACTGAGCCACCTTCCCAGCCCAAGATTTTTTAAAAAGAATATAATGGACAGTATTAAAAAATATACTGGGTTAGCAGTATATTTATATATTTTCCCCTTGGAAAACTGGGAAATACGATCATTCTAATTATATATCCCAGTGTGCCTTTGGAAAATTAGAAGAATATGTCCATATTTGGATATACTGACACTTCAAATGACTATCAATATGTGAAATACAGGTTTTATCTATTGAGAATCTGCTTATATAATAAATTCTGTTAAGATACTTGAAAAAACTTTTAGTATGTTTTTTCCTCAGGATGATCGCTTAAGAGAACCTCTGCAAAAACTGAAACTGGCTGTTAGCAATGTCATGCCTGAACAGCTATTTAAATACCAAGAGGACTGCCAGGCTCGTAGTCAAGCTAAGTGTGCCAAGTATGTTACCTCTTCTCTTTGGATGGGATTTGGCTTTAAGAGAACACTTGTAACTTTAAAGGGTTGGTCTAAAGTAAAGTGGTCATTTATCTTCAAGTAGAAATCAACATACACCACTGGAATGCTATAATTGAATGTTTTCTTTTTTTTTTTTCTTCTTTTTTTTGAGGGGGGGTGGTCTGGTCGTGGGGCCTGAACTCTGGGTCTGGGCGCTGTCCCTCAGCTCTTCAGCTCAAGGCGAGTGCTCTACCACTTGAGCCACAGCGCCACTTCCGGCTTTTTTCTTTTTGCTTATGTGGTGCTGAGGAATCGAACCCAGGGCCTCGAGCATGCAAGGCAAGCGCTCTACCACTGAGCCACCTTCCCAGCCCCTAATTGAATGTTTTCTAACATATCGTATCACTTCCCATATAATTGCTTTGCTATCAAAGGCAAAAGGCTTTGGTTTGTATGGGTGTGATCTAAAATTCAAGTCTGATCTGGGGGTGCATACCTGTAATCCCAATACTCAGGAGGCTAAGGCATAGGGATCAAGAGTTTGAGGTCACTCTAGGTTTTGTAGTCCAAACTGGCTCACAACAAAACCAACACTGATCAGATATTTCATATGTTGATCAAATTGACTAGCTGGGGCTAGTGTTTATGCCTTTATGTTATAGTTTGAGGATCCTATTTACCAAGCTACTTTATAACTCAATCCAAATTCAAGATATTACATGGAAAGGTAGATTCCCTAGTCTGTTTAAAGTTAACATTCAGGTAAGCAATTCAGGATATTATAGAGATGTTAGGTTACAACTTTACTTCTATTAGGCACTAGTGACTCACACCTTAATCCTAGCCACCCAAGAGGTTAACTTGTGAGGATCTCAGTTAAGGAACTAGCCAGCCAAAAAGTTTGTGAGACTCCATTTCTGATTAACTACCAAAAAGTTGGACTAGAGGTATGACTCATGGTAGAGTGCCACCAAGTGAGAGAGTAACGCTTTAAGTTCAAATTCTTGTACTGGCACAAAAACAAAGAAAAAGAAAAACAACTTTGCTTCATAAAATGTTTCTTTCATTTTCTAGGTTACAAACAGATGAAGAACGAGAAAGGAATGGATCTGAGGAAGATGATGATGAGAAACCAGGGAAACGTGTTATTGGACCAAGAAAGAAATTCCACTGGGATGACACCATTAGGTAAGAGTTTAACATCTTTACTTCTGACCTAATATATAGTATAGAAAAGTAGCCGGGGGCTGTGAAGGTGGCTCAGTGGTAGAGTGCTTGCCTTGCATGCTCCAGGCCTTGGGTTCGATTCCTCAGTACCACATAAGCAAAAAGAAAAAAGCCGGAAGTGGTGCTGTGGCTCAAGTGGTAGAATGCTAGCCTTGAGCTGAAGAGCTGAGGGACGGTGCCCAGGCCCAGAGTTCAGGCCCCACAACCAGACCCCCCCCCAAAAAAAAGAAAGAAAAGTAGCCGGGTGCCAGGCTCACGCCTGTAATCCTAGCTACTCAGGAGGCTGAGATCTGAGGATCATGGTTCAAAGCCAGTCCGTGAGACTCTTATCTCCAATAAAAACCACTAGAAAACCGGAAGTGGTGCTGTGGCTCAAGCGGTAGAGCACTTGCGCCTTGAGCTGAAGAGTGCAGGGACAGTGCCCAAGCCCAGAGTTCAAGCCCCATGACCAATAACAATAACCAAAAAAATCTGTATAAATGGAAAAAATAGATTGGAAACAAACTAGAAATTAGTCAAGGAAATGCTAATTTGGTTCTAATTAGTCTCCTTAGAGTACTAAAGCTTTTCATACTTTTTTATAGGCTAATATAATAATGGAGTAAGTCATACTGGTTTCATAAAATTCAGTCTCAATACACTTAAGTAAACCAGCCATCTTTCATACCCCACAAAGACAGCTGTCAGTCTCAGGCGTCTTAAGTAAAGATGAAGAGGGAAATTGTCTCATGATGGAGATTTGACTGTCATATAGTGAATGATATACGTTAGGAATTACTCATTGTCACGCCATTGTCTGCATTCTTCAGCTAATATTCTGTATTACTGCTTGTAGATTTGTGTGCTTAAAAAAAATCTGTTGCAGCCGGGCGCTGGTGGCTCACACCTGTAATCCTAGCTAGTCAGGAGGCTGAGATCTGAGGATCGGGGTTCAAAGCCAGACCAGGCAGGAGAGACCGTGAGACTCCTATCTCCAATAAACCACCAGAAAACCGAAAGTGGCGCTGTAGCTCAAGTGGTAGAGCGCTCGCCTTGAGCTGAAGAGCTGAGGGATAGTGCCCAGGCCCAGAGTTCAAGCCCTGCGGCTGACAAAAAAAAAAAAAAAATCTGTTACAAAAAGAGAGAAAGGAAATAACCAACCATTGGGGTTGGAGGCATGGCTCAGGGGTTAGAGCACCAGCTAGTAAGTGAGAGTGTTAGGTACTGAGTTAGAATTCTGGTTCCAGACCTAAAAAAAAGTGAGAGAGAAGGAAAAAAAACAACCCTTAGTTTTCTACAGTTTTGTGTTCAAATTTGTATGTAAATATGTTTGTTTTTAATCTGTTTAGAACTTTGTTGTGTAACCTGGTTAAGATCAAGTTGGGATGCTATGAATTAGAGCCAAATAAAAGCCAGTCTGCTGAGGATTATCTTAAATCCTTCATGGAGACAGAGGTGAAGCCATTGTGGCCTAAGGGCTGGATGCAGGCGAGGTAAGAAATGTGACTTCTGAAATTCTCTTTTAATTTCTTGTTTTGCTATGCACAGACATACATGATATTGATTTTGCAAAGAACCCAATGTGCTCAACGGCCTATGTTAGATGATCTTTGCTTTGAAAACTTAAAGAAAGTAGAAGACAAAATGACGGGAGGCATGGCTTCAGTGGTGGGTTCCTAATTATCAAACAAAAGGCCCTTAGTTCAAATCTTAGTATTTCCAAGAAGAAAAAAGTTTAATACTTCCAGGTGCCGGTCAGTGGCTAATGTGTATGATTTGAATGTGTATGGTTTGAAGCCAGTCTGATCAGAAAAGTCCATGAGACTCTTATCCCCAATTACCCCCAAAAAAGCCTGAAGTAGAGCTTTAGGTCAAGTTGTAGAGGGCTGGCATAAAAGCTAAGGATGGGCACAAAAAAAAAGTTTAAGAGAAAACAATAATGTGGACATAGAGATAAACAGGTGGGCATAGGCATGAAAATACTTTGTTTATTACCTTTTTGTTTGTGCCTCAATTTGTTGTTAATAGTGAAAAAAGAGATGGGAGCTGATAGTTTGAAACCTTAGCTGGGAAACTTTATATGGGGTAACATGTAAATAAGGAATTGAATATAGGCTTTGGAGCATAAGAAAAAAGAGAGGCAGCCTTAGGTTTTCTTGAAAGTAGTATTAGAGGAATATTTCAAAAACAAAGTGGGCATCTTTGAAGTCTCAAAAGTTTAGACTATAAAATTTTATAATAAACTTGGTTATTAACTCATCTTAAAATGTCCCATTATAGCAACAAAAATAATCATTTCTCTTGATGTTAAAATATGATACCAGGGGCTGGGAAGGTGGCTCAGTGGTAGAGCACTTGCCTTGCATGCGTGAGGCCCTGGGTTTGATTCCTCAGCACCACATATGCAAAAAAAAAAAAGCTGGAAGTGGCACTGTGGCTCAATTTTAGAGCGCTAGCCTTGAGCTGAAGAGCTGAGGGACAGCACCCAGGCCCAGAGTTCAGGCCCCACGACCGGACCCAAAAAAAAAAAAAAATAAAATAAAATATGATACCAGTGGCTGCTGCCTGTAATCATAGCTACTTTAGGGACCTGTAATCACAACTACTTTAGGAAGTGAGATCAAGAGGATCCATTCAAAGCAAGCCTGAACATACACAGTGGCTTATACCTGCCAAGTTGGAATCTTAAAATAAGAATCAAAACCCAGGGGCTGGGAAGGTGGCTCAGTGGTAGAGTGCTTGCCTTGCATGCGTGAGGCCCTGGGTTTGATTCCTCAGCACCACATGAGGAAAAAGAAAAAAGCTGGAAGTGGCGCTGTTGCTCAAGTGATAGAGCACTGGCCTTGATCTGAAGAGCTGAGGGATAGCGCCCAGGCCCAGAGTTCAGGCCCCACGACCAGACACCCCCCCCCCCCCCAAAAAAAAAGAAAACCCAGGCACATTCTCAGGCTGGAACAAAAACCCTGTTTCAAAAACAGCCAGTATTCAAAAGGATTGGTAGTGTAGTGTAACTCAACAGTAGTATAGCCTAGTAAGCATGAGGCCCTGAGTTCAAACCCCAGTATATGAAGGGAAACAACCAAGCGAATAAAGAAGAGATAAAGCCGGGCGCTGGTGGCTCATGCCTGTCATCCTAGCTACTCAGGAGGCTGAGATCTGAGGATCACGGTTCAAAGCCAGCCCAGGCAGGAAAGACTGTGAGACTCCTATCTCCAATAAACCACCAGAAAACCAGAAGTGGCGCTGTAGCTCAAGTGGTAGAGTGCTCGCCTTGAGCTGAAGAGCTGAAGGACAGTGCCCAGGCCCAGAGTTCAAGCCCCAGGACGGACAAAAAAAAAAAAAGAAGAGATAAAACTCTCCATAATGCTGGGTGCCGGTGGCTCACACCTGTAATCCTAGCTACTCAGGAGGCTGAGATCTGAGGATCACAGTTCAAAGCCAGCCCAGGCAGGAAAGTCCGGGAAACTTTTTTTTTTTGTCAGTCATGGAGCTTGAACTCTGGGCCTGAGTGCAGTCCCTTCAGCCCTTCAGCTCAAGGCTAGCACTCTATCACTTGAGCTACAGCACCACCACTTCGAGTTTTCTGGTGGTTTATTGGAGATAAGAGTTTCAAAGAACTTTCCTGCCCAGGCTGGCTTTGAACCGCCATCCTCAGATCTCAGCCTCCTGAGAAACTAGTATTACAGGTTTGAGCCCTCCGGGCCGTGAAACGCTTATCTCCAGTAAACCACCAGAAAACTGGAAGTGGCGCTGTAACAAGTGGTAGAACGCTAGCCTTGAGCTAAAGAGCTGAGGGACAGCGCTCAGGCCCAAAGTTCAAGCCCCACAACTGACCAAAAAAAAAAAAACCCACCAACAACATCAACTCTCCATAAAATGTATTATTGATTATACTGAACCATTACAATTTTTACTCTTAAATAGGCAAGTAATAGCTATTGAAAATCAAATACAATAGCAATTAAAAATCAAGTGATTTAAAAGATGAAGCTGGGTGTGGTGATAAATACATGTGATCCCAGCATTCTGGAGGCTAACTGGAAAGAAAGTTATTAGTTCAAACCATTTAGAGCTACATAGTAAGTTCAAGGCCAACCTAAACTATATATCAAGATCCTGTCTGTAAAACAAAAGTGAATTATATTATCTGCTACTAAAAAGAATAACCATTTGTGTTTTTTTTTTCAGAATGCTTTTTAAAGAAAGCCGGAGTGTACATAATCATCTTACTTCTGCTCCGTGAGTAAATGCCAACCCCAGATTTCATTCCTTTTTTTAAAAAATAACTAGGTATTTTTATGCAGTTTTCATCATACAACTTTTCCTTTTTTCCTAGCCCAGGCTAGTCTGGAATTTGAGCTCAATTTGCCTCAATTTCCTGAATACTGGGGTTGCTCACATAAGTTACCATAGCCAGCGCTACTGTCTTATTTGTTTGTTTGTTTTTTTAAGTCATTTGCCTGTTTAGGGACTTTAGATCAATCTATTGAAATAGTTCCTCAGGCTTTGCTACATGAGAAATGCAAACAGGAGGATGATAGTTCAGGCTTGCCTGGACAAAAGCTAACAAATAGGAATCAAGTTGTGCTTTTAAGTGATAGAACACCTTCCTAGCAAGCATAAGGCTATAAGTTTAAAGCCCTGTACTGCAAACAGAGAGAGAGAGAGAGAGCAAAAGAGAGAGAGAAAATATGCAAATACACATAGCACAAGTTATCAAGAATTTACCGAATACTGTATTCAGTATTCGAAGATCTCTGATTACCTTTTGGGAAGCATCACAGAAGTTACAGAATTCTTCCTCTCCTTGTGTACAGTTTTGATAATAAGTTGATTTTTTTAAATTTTATTTATTTATTTGTTTTTTTATCAGTCATGGGGCTTGAACTCTAGGCCTGGGCGCTGTCCCTCAGCTCTTCAGCTCAAGGCTAACACTCTACCACTTGAGCCACAGCGCCATTTCCGGCTTTTTTCTTTTTGCTCATGTGGTGCTGAGGAATCGAACCCAGGCCCTCATGCATGCAAGGCAAGTGCTCTACCACTGAGCCACCTTCCCAGCCCAGGGCTTATACTCTTGATGGACCTTTTTACTTATGGCTGATGTCACCACTTGAGCCACATCTTTAGTCTTGCTTTGTTGCTGGTTAATTAGAAATAGAGTCTTGTAGACTTTACTATTCTGACAGGCTTTGAACTGAGATCCTCATATCTCAGCCTCCTGCATAACTGGTACCCAGTTAGCCACTGGTACCCAGCGTAAGTTGATTTTCTAATTTTTTCCCTAGATTTTAACTGTTTGGTGTGTCATCAAAGGTCCATTGAGTTGGCTATCACTTTCCTTTCTTACTGTTGTTTTGTGCCAAGTTGTTTGGTTTGCTTTATTTTGAGATGGGGTCTTACTGTGTTGCTCAGTCCAGTCTCAAAATTCCTGGGCTCAGACTATTCTCCTGCCCTGGCTTCCTGTGATATAGCTTGGACTAAAATCATGCACCACTACACCCCCTTCCTTATTGGGACACTTTGGTCTCATCAACTACAAGTTTATGGGATAAGGATAGATATTTATATATAGATACATATAATTTAGTAATATTTGCAGCTTTTAATTTCCCTGTAGTTATAAAACCACATAGGCATTATAAAACATAATGTCTTTTGTTCTGTAACTGTTTTGTATAGATTCCTTCATTTAGCTTCTTTTTTTTTTTGAGACAGGTCTCATCTTGTTTCTCAGTCTGGCTTGGAGCTCCTGAACTTGAGTGAGTCTCCTGCCTAGAGCTCACCTCACTCAGCTCCCCTCAAAAGTTTAAAAATAGCTCCACTCTAGCTGGGCGTGTTAGCACATGCCTATAATCTAGCTACTTGAGAAACAAAGGTTAAGAGGATTGAAGTTCAAGGACTACGAAGGCAAAAGTTTGCAGGACCTCGTCTCAAACTAAAAAGAAAAACAAGGACATGGCTTGTGGCTCAAGTAGTAGAGGGCTCACCTAGCAAACATAAGGCCTTTGTGTTATCCCTTCTTATCATATACGCAATCTTTATTATTCTAACTTTGTGTTTTGTTTTTGTTTATGCCATAATGTAGGAATCTATAGGATAGGTGAGCATGGAAGGCATTTGGTGGACTGGCCCTGTTGCCTAAACACTTTGAAAATTGTGTTGTGTGTATGAATGTGTGTATGTGTCTGCTTTTCTTCCAGACAATTTTTTCCTTTTATTTAAATTCTATTTATTCAATGAGGTTTGTTACAACATTTCTATATATGAGTGTAATGTATTTTTGTCCTATTCACACTTTCTATTACTCCTTTTTTTTGGGGGGGGGTTGGTCATGGGGCTTGAACTCTGGACCTGAGTGCTGTCCCTCAACTCTTCAGTTCAAGGCTAGTGCTCTATCACTTGAGTCACAGTGCCACTTCCCATTTTTTTTCAAAGCTAGAGCTCTACCACTTGAGCTACAGCTCCACTTCTGGCATTTTTGGTAGTTAATTGGAGAGTCTCATAGACTTTCCTGCCCTGACTTTGAACCACCATTTTCAGATTTCAGTCTCCTGAGTAGCTAGGATTACAGGTGTGAGCTACCAGCACCTAGCTAATTGCTGACATTTTAATTTAGCAAAGTGGAAATATTCAAGTAAGGTGAGATATTTTAGCTTGTCAGTCTTTTAATTATTCAACAATTATTCAACAAGCTCTTCTGTGGAGCCTAAAAGATTTTTAAGAAAAAAATTCGTTGTTAATTATAAAGGTGATGTCAGAGGGGTTATAGCTATATGCATCAGGTACTGAGTACATTTATGTTTGGACTGTGTCACCCCTTCCCTCACTCCCAGTTTTTCTTTCCTGTCTCCACTCACAAGTTGGATAGTTCATTTTTGGCATAGTGTCCTAGTGAGTAACTGCTCCATTTGTTCACCCTTTGTCCCTCCATTTCTGTGACTCCCCTTACCCTCCCAAAGACAATTAAATGAACAAACAAGACAAAAAGAAAACAAAAACAACAACAATGAAAAAAACTCATTTCCATTTCTTATAGGATTCCTCCCCTATGAATGTACTTGACTTTCTCATTTGTTACTCAAAATGCATTTACACCCCTCTGTCATGGCTTAATTCAAGCTTAGAGTTCTTTGAACCTATTCTCTTCCTACAGTGGTAAACTCTTGCCAAATCTTGAAGTTAGTCTTCTTAGGTAACTTTGTCAATCTGTCTTGAATTAGTTTATATTACATGGATTTACATTAGATTCTACTTTTTTTTTTTTTTAATCATGGGTCTTGAACTAAGGGCCTGGGCACTATACCTGAACTTTTCCGCTCATGGCTAGCACTCTTAACACTTTGAGCCACAGTTCCACTTCTGGTTTTGTGGTGGTTAATTAGAGATAAGAACCTCATGGGGTCTTTCCTGCTTGGGCTGGCTTTGAACTAAGATCCTCAGCCTCCTTGAGTGGCTAGGATTTTAGGTGTAAGCCACTAGCACTTGGTTATATTTAGTTTTTAAAATTTTTGTGCTTCATCTACTTTTCACTGGTATTCATAACTTTTCACTTACTATTTATGTGGCCTTTTCTTCGAGCTAATCTAAGTTGGAGAAAATGTTGCAGAATATTGCAATAAAAATAGTCCTTTCTTACTTCAAAGAGTTTTCCAAAGGACAGAAGAATTATTTACCCATTAATTACCCATATAAGGTCATATGTTACAATTTCCTAGTGAACGATAACTGCTATTGACTGGCCTTCATTTTAATCTTTTATTTTAGGGCAAAGAAAAAAGTGATTCCTGCATCCAAACCCAAAGTAAAGGTAAGAATTCACCAAATCTATAGTTGATCATAATGTGTGAATATTGAAATGTATTAAGACACACAGCAATAATCAATAGGTATTATATCCTAAATTGGATATTTTAAACTTAGTGAACATCCTTATAATCTTCGTATAAATGGCTGTGTATTGGTGGCAAATGTATATTTTAATTAAATTACAGTTTAAATGAATTCTTCTTAAATTCTAAGAAGATAAAATGTACCAAATACTATTTAATTTATTTATTTATTTATTTTTTTAATTTTTATTTTTTGGTCCGGTTGTGGGGCCTGAACTCTGAGCCTGGGTGCTGTCCCTCAGCTCTTCAGTTCAAGGCTAGCGCTCTACCACTTGAGCCACAGCGCCACTTCCGGCTTTTTTCTTTTTGCTTATGTGGTGCTGAGGAATCGAACCCAGGGCCTCAGGCATGCAAGGCAAGCGCTCTACCACTGAGCCACCTTTCCAGCTCCCCAAATACTATTTTAAAACACAGCAAAGATTACAAATATAGAAGAGAAGTTTGAAGGCCAAAAGCAAAGGAGGAGTGTCCAGGCGTGGAAACATGGCTGAAACCCTCATTGTCTTTGGCACTGCTGCCCATCAGTTCCTGGTTTCTTTTCACTTTCCTTATTAGAATATAGCAATAGACAGAGATTAGAATATAGCCAATACAGCCAATATGTGGAGAGAAACCCACATAAAGCTGAGCCTCAGATGAAAGCATTTTTGGTAAAAGAAAGGATTAGCAAATAGCACCCATCAACAGAGAGATTGAGAACATCTTCTGACTGGTCATGGTGTCTATGATTATAATCTTAGCACTTGACTGACGTGGGATCACAAGTTCACGGCCAGTTTGAACTGCTTAGCAAGACTCTCTTACAGAAAACCACGCCAACCTGGGCATAGTGGCTCATGCTTGCGATCCTAACTAAATCCAGAGGATTGTGATTTGAGGCTAGCCTGACTTACATAGGTGCCGGTTAGTGTGTGCTCCATAACTTTCATCTCTCTGAATATGTGAGTTGTTTTGCCTGTAAGCTGGCACTTGCTGTAGTCTGTTAACCTTCTCACCTTTTAGTGCTATAGCCTATTTGAATACAGAACAACTAATTGTCTTTTTCTTAGTTACTACCTACTCCATGTAAGATTGAGCCACTGTTTTGTTCAATCTCTCAATGGACACCCCTTCCTCCCAGTATACCATTTTTGGTGTAAAAATTATATAAGAAAATGCTTTCAGTGCTGGTAATGTCGCTTAGTGGTAGAGCCCTTGCCTTGCATACATGAAGCCCTGGGTTCAACTCCTCAGTACCACATAAACAGAAAAAGCTGGAAGTGGCACTGTGGCTCAAGTGGTAGAGTGCTAGCCTTGAGCACAGAGAAGCTCAGAGACAGTTCCCAGGCCCTGAGTTTAAGCCCTAGGACTGGCAAAACAAAAACAAAAAACAAACAAAAAAGAAAATGCTTTTAGTAGGAAGGAAAAATGTAAAAGCATACAGGAAATGTCTCCTGAGAGAAATGAACTCCTAACTTCCTGCAATACAACTGTCTTCCTTTCTTGGTCTTCCTCTTTGGTCCCTATCCACTTAACCAATCATTCAATATAAGTAGAATAACCTGTTTTTGACTCAGCTATGTATCCTGAATGATTTACTTTACCATGGTAAGTCTATTCTGTGGGTAGATATAGTATTGATTTTATAAAGAAGAATATAGTTACTTAAAACACATTTTATAGTAGTATAACAATACTCATATACCTTCTCCACGCTAATTCTGTGCTCTTTGTAATAATGGAATTTTTGCTGATCATGCAATTAGCCTATCAAAGCAAATAGCATTTCATAGGCATTATCTGTTCATCTTAGCAGACAGTGTCTTTAATTCAGCTATACTTTGTAATTCTGATAGGTGGTGAGATTTTCAGTTGGGAGTGTCTTAGTGTAAAAGTTCAGAAAAATGACAAGAAAATTAGAGTATAACTATATGCTTGACAGCTTACTTACTATAATACCTTAGGAGGTGATGGTAAAGACCCATCCTTCCCATTCTTTCCCCACTATGCTTAAAGGAAAGTGCTGTGGTTGTATAAGCAATGAGATTCTGAATCTGTCTGTTTTTAAAGAACAATTGAAAAGACTTTAAAATGATTTACATAAAATTTTGCTTAAGATGAGTTAAACTTCGTATTTTCTTAAAGAAACAGTACTAAACTGTACTTAAATCTCCTATCTCTTCCTTGAATTTTAAGGAAGTTAATTTTTTTTCAGTCATGGGTCTTGAACTCAGGACCAGCATTCTACCACTTTGAGCCACAGTGCCACTTCTGGTTTTCTTGTGGTTAATTGAAAATAAGAGTCTTACAGACTTTGCTGCCTGAACTGGCTTCAAATCATAATCCTCACATCTTAGCTTCCTGAGTAGCTAGCATTATAGATATGAGCTACCAGGATCTGGTTGAGAAAGAGTATTTTCAGACAACAGATAATATTCTTTTAGTTATTTAGAGGTTTCCCTTGTTTTCTTTTTCTTTTCCTTTTTTTTTTTTTTTTTGCCAGTCCTAGGACTTGAACTCAGAGCTTGGGCACTATCCCTGAACTTTTTTTTTTTTTTTCCGGTTGTGGGGCCTGAACTCTGGGCCTGAGTGCTGTCCCCTCAGCTCTTCAGCTCAAGGGTAGTGCTCTACCACTTGAGCCACAGCGCCACTTCCAGGTTTTTTTCTTTTTGTTTATGTGGTGCTAAGGAATCGAACCCAGGGCCTCGAGCATTCAAGGCAAGTGCTCTACCACTGAGCCATTTTCCCAGCCTGATAGATTTTTTTTTTGCGGGGGGAGGGTCCCTGAACTTCTTTGGCTCAAGGCTAGCATTCTACCACTTGAGCTACAGTGCCACATCTGGCGTTTGCTGTGTGTATGTGGTACTGAAGAATCTATCCCAGGGTTTCATGCATGCTAGGCAAGCACTCTACCAGTGAGCCACATTCCTAGCCATATTTCCCTTGTTTTCTGAGCATAGAAACTTCCTTTCAGTATACACCTAGTAAACACATACTTGAAAAACTTACAAATGACTTCTACCATAATGAGTAGGAAAAACTTATTTTAAATGCTTGGAATGCTTTAGGTGTCTATGTTTTGGATGTGGGTCACTGCATGCTACATATTGCATACTACAGCATATAGTCAGAAATGGGAAAAAGCAAAGAACAATGGTCAGCATCCTAGGAAACCTTACTAGAAAAGAAAAGTAGTCTTTAAATATAAAGGAGAGCTGGGCACCGGATGGCTCACACCTGTAATCCTAGCCACTTGGGAAGCTGAGCTCTGAGGATTGAGGTTCAAAGCCAACCTGGGCAGATTTTTATTTCCAGTTAACCATCAAAAAGGCAGAAGTGGAGATATAACTCAAATGGTAGAGTACCAGCCTTGAGTGAAAAAGCCAAGTAAGAGTACGAGGACCTGAGTTCAAGCCCCAGTACCAGAACAAAATAATAATTATTTTGGCTTTGACAGTCTGAAGATGTCTAATACAAAAGCAGTTTTAGTCATCAGGATAATTTCTCACTGCTTTTAAAACATTGTAATTTTTTAATTAACTGTTTCTATTTTTTCTCATATGATGCGACTTATACTAGGAGTGTAGTCCAAAAAAGGACTCCAGAGCACCTTCATCCTCGGTGGCTTCCGCCAGTGGCCCTTCGTCCAGCTCCAGTGCTTCTGTTGTTGCTTCAACCAGCTCCAGCTCAACACCAGCTCAAGAAACCATCTGCCTCGATGACTCCCCAGATGAAGACCTTTCTTTCCACTCGCCTTCACTGGAACTTGTTTCTGAAGCTTTGGCTGTCATCAACAATGGGAACAAGGGCACGGCAGTTGGTTCAAGGATAAGCATGCCAGGTACAAAACCTCGTCCAGGACTAAGAGAAGAAAAATTAGCAACTATCATGAGTAAGCTGCCACTGGCAACTCCCAAAAAACTAGATTCTACTCAGACCGCACATTCATCAAGTCTTATTGCTGGTCACACAGGACCAGTACCAAAGAAACCCCAGGATTTAGCTCATACTGGCATCTCTTCTGGCCTTATTGCTGGTTCTTCAATTCAGAACCCTAAAGTCTCCTTAGAACCATTGCCAGCCAGGCTACTTCAACAAGGACTACAAAGGTCAAGCCAGATTCATGCTTCTTCCTCTTCGCAGACTCATACATCCTCTTCTTCCCAAGCCCAAGTTGCTGCCTCCTCTCACACTCTGGGAACATCAGAGGCCCAAGATGCTTCTTCATTAACACAAGTCACAAAGGCCCACCAGCACTCAGCTGTCCAGCAGAACTATGTTTCTCCATTACAGGCAACCATTAGTAAGTCACATACCAACCCAGTGGTGAAATTAAGTAATAATCCCCAACTTTCCTGTTCATCCCCACTACTGAAGACTTCAGATAAGCCACTTATGTACCGGCTCCCCTTATCGACCCCCTCCCCTGGAAATGGTTCTCAGGGGTCTCTGGTTCCCCTGGTTTCTAGGACAGCACCAAGCACCACTACCTCTAGTAACTATTTAGCCAAGGCTATGGTGTCACAAATCTCCACGCAGGGTTTCAAATCCCCCTTCTCAATGACTGCATCCCCAAAACTTGCCGCATCTCCCAAACCTGCCACATCTCCCAAACCCTTGCCCTCACCTAAGCCTTCTGCTTCACCCAAGCCCTCTCTGTCAGCCAAGCCTTCAGTGTCATCTAAACTAATTTCTAAATCCAACCCAGCTCCCAAGCCTACAATATGCCCAAGTTCTTCCAATCCAAATACACTAGTAGCCCAGAGTAGCCACTCTACCAGTAACAACCCAGTCCATAAACAGCCCACTGGATTGAACATCAGCAGACAGTCTCCCACCTTGAATTTAATGCCCTCTAATCGCACTTCAAGCTTTCCATCTACAAAAAATCTTCAGGCCCCTTCTAAGCTAACAAACTCGTTATCTACTGGAACTATTGGGAAGAACAGCTTGAGTGGAATTGCAATGAATGTACCTGCCAGCAGAGGTAGCAACCTTAACTCAAGCGGAGCTACTAGGACTAGTCTATCTGGTGGAACAGGAAGTGGAATACAGGGTGCTACTAAATCGTTATCTACTCCACATAGACTGTCCTCTGCCTCAGGGTCTTCAGTGGTAACAGCCAGTGTGCAGGTATGTATGTATGAATGTTCTGGATCTTCACATGTAAGATTGCAGTCTTTCTTCTGAGCTACTTTAATGAGCTTAAATACAATGTATGCAATATGTATGCTGTAATGGATGCTATATTAGGCTGATTATGGTTATTGCCATGGAATGTTGCTGATGATGATATCATCATAACCAGTGACTGACACACTTGCGGATCAGAGTTTATTGGGACCTGGTTTTGTGTTCCTTTTATTTTTTTGTTTTGTTGTAGGAAAGTATCACATGTTGGGCTGGATGGTGATGTGAAATTATACAATCATCTCAGCTAGTTGAACAGCTGAGGCAGGAGGATCTCAAGTTTAAAGACGAGCTTGGGCAGCTTACTGAATATGTCTCAAAATAAAGTAAAAAGGGGCTGGGATGTTAGCTCAGGGTTAGAGCACCTGCCTAGTATGTGTGAGACCCTAGGTAGATGGATCTTTAGTATCCACCCCCCCCCAAATACTATTACATGTTCACCTTAACATTAACAAACAATCAGTGAAACTGCGTTTAAAATTATATTTCAAACTAGTGATATAGTTCTGTGGTAAAGAAATTGCCTACCATTACGTGGCCCTGTATTTAATCTTTAGTGCTGAAAAATAACAAAAATGAAAACTGTAGGGCATGGTGTTCCATGCCTGTAACCTTAACCCTCAGGAAGCTAAGGCAGATCTGGAGTCACAGGCCAGCCTGAAACTGGGCTACATAATGAGAAATTAATTTTTAAAAACCCAACATCAATTAAAATCAAACTGGCAGGCACCGGTGGCTCATGCCTGTAATCCTAGATATTGAAGAGTATGAGATCTGAGATCGGGATTCAAAGCCAGCCCAGGCAGGAAAGTTCCTGAGACTCTTATCTCCAATATACCACCGGAAAACTGGAAGTGGTGCTGTGGCTCAAGTGGTAGAGTGCTAGCCTTGAGCAAAAGAAGCTCAGGAACAGTGCCCAGGCCCTGAGGTCAAGCCCCACAACTGAAGGAAAAAAAAAAAAAGCAAACTATATCCCCTAGGTTAAAATCAAGAATTAAATGAAAACTTAAGATTCTAACATAACTTCAAAACATGGAACGCAATCTGGATAGTAATCTGGATACCGATGGCTCACACCTATAATCCTAGCTATTTGGGAGGCTGAGATCTGAGGATTGCAGTTCAAAGCCAGCCCGAGCAGAAAAGTCTATGAGACTCTTACCTACAATTAACCACCAGTAAACCAGAAGTGGCACTGTGGCTCAAAGTGGTAGAGCACTAGTCTTAAGCAAAAAAGCTCAGGGACAGAATCTAGGCCCTGAGTTCAAACATGACTGACAAAAAAACCCACATGGAATGTAGATGTTATTTTATCTTAGCTTTGCATAGCTGATCACTTCTTTCTTTCACACACTCTTAGTCACTAACTGTTTCACTCCACAAACAGTAAATATTGCTCCGACTGACTGTGTGTGTGTGTGCATGTGAGCGTGTGTCCGTGTGCATGTGTACATGCTTACTGGCCCTGGGTCTTGATCAGTATGGGTGCTGTCCTTGAGCTTTTTTTTTCTCTCTCTCTCTCAAGGCGCACACTCTACTACTTGAGCTATAACTTTACTTCTGGCTTCTTTGGGAGTAATTGGAGATAAGAGTATCAAGGACTATTTTGCCCAAGTAGGCTTTAAACCATGGTCCTCGGATCTCAGCCTCCTGAGTAGCTAGGATTATAAACATAAGCTACCAGCACTCTGCCTTGATATTTCTTAAGCTCAAAAAAATTTGTGTGTCTGAGTATTGTTTTTGATTAATTTATCTTTTTTTTTGGTGGGGGGGGGTCCGGTTGTGGGGCCTGAACTCTGGGCCTGGGCGCTGTCCCTCAGCTCTTCAGCTCAATGCTAACACTCTACCACTTGAGCCACAGCGCCACTTCCGACTTTTTTCTTTTTGCTTATGTGGTGCTGAGGAATCAAACCCAGGGCCTCATTCCTTCAAGGCAAGCACTCTACCATTGAGCCACCTTCCCAGACCCTTGATTAATTTATCCTAAGTGTTTTTGTTTCTTTGTTTTTTGACATAAGGTCTTGTATAGTATGCCAGGCTAACCTTGACCTCATAATCCTCCTGCCTCAATCTCCTGAGTACTGGAATTGTGCCTGTCTAGTCTTCCCCTGGTTTTTGAGAACTCTTATTATTCATAGATTTTTTTTTTCTGGTCCTGTGGCTTGAACTCGGAGCTTGGACACTGTCCCTGAGCCTCTTTATCTCAAGGCTAGCACTCTACCACTTGAACCATACCACCACTTCTGTTTTTTTCTAAGTGGTTTATTGGAGATAAAAATCTCACAGGCTTTTCTTTCTGAGTTGGCTTTGAACCTGATCCTCAGATCTCAACCTCCTGAGTAGCTAGGATTACAGGCATGAGCCACCTTCATAGTAAGCAAATACCCCTTAATTTCAAACTTGGGTTTGCCATACAGATTTATCTCTATATATCTATGGACTCAGCATTATTCGTAGATTTTATCAGTGTTTACCATTGTCTACCAAGTTTATATTCTGAGTTCTCAATTTTGTCCTTCACATTAATGATTTCCTTATTATTTTTTCTCCTGGAAGATAATATGTGTTCATTGTAGGCAAACTTAGGAAAAATAAATTAATTCATTTTCCCAGCAGTATTTTTCTCTGTGGGAATTTTATTATTTAATATTGTTTAGAAATCATGACTTTTCTGACTTGTGGAATTGTGTGGTCTAAGGAAGTGCTCTAACAATACTTCCTCCTATTTTTGTAGTAGGAATATGTAACAAAAGGATTTTCCCTGTTGTTTGTAGAGGTTCTTTATTGTTTAGAACATTGTAAGGGTTTGTATGCAGTATATGTTTAAAACCTAAAGCATAGCCAGGCGCTGGTGGCTCTCACCTGTAATCCTAGCTACTCAGTAGGTTAGATCTGAGGATGGTGGTTCAAAGCCAACCTGGGCAGGAAAGACTGACTCTTATCTCCAGTTAACCATCAGAAAACCAGAAGTGATGCTGTGGCTCAAAGTGGTAGAGCCTGCTAGCCTTCAAAGAGCTCAGGGACAGTGCCCATAGTGCCTGAGTTCAAGCCCCACAACCGACAAAACAAAACAAAACTCAAATTATTATTCTACCACTTAAGTAGGCTTAGGAATGACTTGGTTCCAGAATTTGATATATAGCAAGTTCAGTTAATTGGTAGTTCACAAATTGAAGTATCAGATTAACCTGATTTATCTGTATAATTTCACTTTCATCAGCAACAAGAAAATAAAACCAGGTAGGGCAGAGTAGCACACACATCAGTTGTAGTAGGCCCAGTAATCAGGAGACTAAGCCTGGAACATCACTTGAGCCCAGGAGTTCTAGATAAGCCTGAACAACGTAAGTGAGACCTCTCAATAAATAAAAGGGTAAAAAATAGATAACAAAGGTGGCTCACACCTGTAATCCTCTGGAGGCCGAGATCCGAAGATTGTGGTTTGAAGCCAGCTTGGGATGAAGAACCCCCTGAGACTCTTACCTCCAATAAACTATTCCAAAAAGCTGGAAGTAGCACTATGGCTCAACTGGAGTGCTAGTCTTGAGCACAAAGAGACTCAGGGACAGTATCCAGGCACCTAGTTCAAGCCCCAGGACCAGAATAAAAAAAGAATAAAAGAATAAACACAAATAATAAATTGGGATTATGTGTTAACATTTTAATTGTAAGTAAGGTCTGGAAATTCATCTTAATTACTATGTGTATTTGCTACAAAATTGACTCCATTTAAAATTGACCTTTAATTTGATCAGGGGATTAAGTAGACAGATCCTAGCAGAAATAGAAGCTACTGTCCTGGGGCTGGGAAGGTGGCTCAGTGGTAGAGCACTTGCCTTGCATGCCTGAGGCCCTGGGTTCAATTCCTCAGCACCACATAAGCAAAAAGAAAAAGCCGGAAGTGGTGCTGTGGCTCAAGTGGTAGAGTGCTAGCCTTGAGCTGAAGAGCTGAGGGACAGCGCCCAGGCCCAGAGTTTAGGCCCCACGACCGGGACCGGACCCCCCCAACCCTTAAAAAAAAAAAAAGTTACTGTCCTAAGCCCTTCATAGCATCATGTACTTTTTTTTTTTTGTCGTCGTGGGGCTTGAACTCTGGGCCTGAGCGCTGTCTCTCGGCTCTTCTCAAGGCTAGTGCTCTACCATGTGAGCCGCAGCGCCACCTCCAGTTTTCTGGTGGTTTATTGGAGATAAGAGTCTCATGGACTTTCCTGCCTGGGCTGGCTTTGAACCATGATCCTCAGATCTCAGCCTCCTGGGTAGCTAGGATTACAAGTGTGAGCCACTACCGCCTGGCTCTGTACTGTTTAACAGCCTTTTCTGCCTTTTAAATAAGAATAGTGAATGAAAAACTTTGGCTTTTATCAGTTTTATGTTTTGGCTTTTCATTATGAAAAATAACACATATTTGCCCTGTTCTGAAAGAGCAATCACAATTTTTGGTTAAATCCACAATAATATAAATATTGTCTCTGTTAAGCTAAGTGTCATAGTGATGCTTTTGTTTGCACATTATAAATACGAGATTGAGAGTAAACTAGAAATTCTGTTTTCTTTTGTTCATTTTCTGTGAATTTAAAGCATCAAGAAAGCTACATGACAAAATTTGTGTTTCTCCTTCCTGATTTTCTCCTCTCCCGGTGTTTCATATATGGTCTCTCAGTGCCTTCATATATGGTCTCATTTTCTCTGTCTTACTGGTTTGACTAGAGAAAAGCCAGTAATTGAATACGGTTGATTCTACCCTCTGTTTACCTAAGATGTTTATATGAACATAGTATCTCGTGTCTTATCACTGCCTTCCTATCTGTGCCTGTGAAACATTCTCTTGTCTGAAAGGCATCTGCTTTGTCTGTTCATCTGCAAGAGGAATATGATAGTCCTTTAGCTTTGTAGGACCAAACATAAAAAGCTTTCTGGATCCAAATCATTAACTCTACTTGCTTTCTATTTAACTACTTTTCACTCAGGAGTTTCTTCTTCTGTCTTAAATTCAGCTTACTGATTTTCTATGAATCCTATTTTTGCCACTTTATAACTACAGAACCCATATAGACAGGTGCAAACAGTAAATCCTCTTTTGCAACCCAGAACTCACTGTTGAGTATGAGATGTGGTACATATAAGAAGGAATATGATTTCTATAATAGTTGGCAGTGTGGGGGGTTGGTTAACTCAAACAGGTTGTGAGAATAAAGTTGATGTAAAAGCTTAAAACGAACAAAAACAGAACCCAGCTGGGTGCTGGTGGCTCATGCCTGTAATTCTAGCTACTCTGGAAGCTGAGATTTGAAGATTGTGGTTCAAAGCCAGCCCAGGCAGGAAAGTCCATGAGACTTGTACCTCCAGTAAACCACCAAAAAACCAGAAGTGGTGCTGTGGCTCAAGTGGTAAAGCACTAGCCTTGACCTGAAGAGCTCAGGAATAGCACCCAGGCCCAGAGATCAAGCCCCACACCCGACTCAAAACAAAACAAGAACAGAATCCATTCATTCATGAAGCAAATGATTATTGTTTGTGCCATGTACCAGGCAGTCGGTGCCAGGGAACTGAGGGTCCCTTAGTCACACACTCTTACTCGCCTTTCCCACTCTTGTGGAGCTTATACTTGAGATAGGAAGATAGCCAAAGGGTAATTTTTGGTGGTGTGGTTTGTTTTTTTTCATGTGGCAAGTACTATGAACCAAATAAAGGGTATGGATTGATTGCTGCTAACAAATGAAGGACTAGGATAGTGTTCTTGTAGGAAGTTATACTTCATTGAGGATTCCATGTGGAAAGGAGAAGGGAAAGTGTAAAGACAATGCCAGACTATGTAGTGAAACCAGAACTGTATTAAAAGCTTAGGGCCACAATAAGAACTTCAGATTTCATTCTGTGTGCGTGTAGTCTTGAACAGTAGAGTGGTATGGTCTGATTTACACTTAAGAAGATCACCCTGCTGGGTCATACCTGTAATTATAGCTACTCTAGAGTTGAGGTTGGAAGTCCTGCCAACTAGGCAGACAAATCTGAGGGACTCTTAGCTCCCATTTATCTGCAAAAAGATGCAACTGGAGGTGTGGCTCAAATGGTAGAGTGCCAACCCTGAATGAAAAAAAAAAAAGCACAGAAACCTGAACCCCAGTACTACTACCAAAAGAACAAAAATACATATTAAAAAAGGTCACCCTGAATGTTGGGGTAAACAAGGGACAGGTATACTCACCCAAGAGGAAGATGGGATTTTGAAAAGATTGGATACTGAACATGAGAGGAGCATGAAGTGTAGCGGTGATGGGAAATGGTTTTGAAATGGAACGTTGACCTGAGCCTACTTCATTTACTGCTGCTTATTGCAAAGGTTATCAGCATTGGCTTTCTGGGAGGTCTCTATCTCAAGATAGGGACGTTTCTAAATGCCCATGTAACTGTACATTACCTGGTGTTTCAATTTCAATTTATAAATGTAAGTGGATACATTCTTAGAGAATATAAAATGTGAGATAGTTGTGGCTGGTATTTTTTTTTAATTACTAACACACAGGCTTGGAACTTGCTTGTTTACATTCGCATCTATTTTAGTGCTTCTGATGGACACCTCCAATAAGACTTGGAAAGGTTCTTAGCAGAATCTTATGTTCTTCACTCAGGCCACCCATGGGCAGAGATCCTCAGAGACTCCCTGCCATCCTTTGCTGAAATACTCTTACCCAAAATAGAAGAAGAACAACTCTTGCTCAATGTTTAAACTGATGCAGGCTCTTTTCTGCCCTAGTTGTCTTAAGATGTGGTTATTTCTAACCTGGGTAATTTTTTCCCGATTGCACCAGCATAACAGAGGAACAGCCAGACAAATTTTAAAAAGCCATCAAGTATAAAATGATCTAAGTATAAAATAATGAAGATTTGTAGTTCCATTTAAGAGGGAGTACTGACTTGAAAAACAAAACAGGTGCGTTGACTGTAAGCACACCTTCATTTTGTGAGGCCTGAGATTTAAATTGCAGACCGAGAGCAGAGGTTTGATGACTGCAGTTAGCAAAAGGTGGTAAGGACAAGGTTGCACAAGGTCATTCCAATTCTGTACAGGTCAGGTCTGTGAGTGCTGGATACTCAAGTGGGATAATTTAGTAAACCTTTGAATACAAAGGATTAACCTTGAAGTAACTGCCAGAACTGTGAATATAAATGTCAGCAGCAACAAAGGACATGGAGGTGGAAATGAATGGAAAACCCAGAACAGAATGTTTCTGGAGAATATTCTTCACTTTTTGTTCAGCTGTGGTATGGACACTTGAGTGTAAAAATGTATGTAATATGGCATTCATACATCTAATGGGAAAATTGCATTTTTGAGTCCTATTAAAAAACCATCAGCCCTTTTGAAATTATTGTGGTGTGTTAGTGGAAATAACAAAAAATTAAACAAATAAGTGTTAACAATAGATAACATTTATATTGAATAAAACATAAAGGATTGAGTTTTCCTGACCCAGTTTAGAACTGTAAAATGTTTGATGACGAGAGTTTGGATTTGATTTAAAAAAAAAAAAAACCTACAAAAGAAAAATTACAGTGGCAGAAACTAGGAAGTAATGTCTAGTATTGAGAAAATTTAAGGCTGTCAAATCTTCGTAATTATACATCAGAAAGAGAAAGGTCAAATAGGAACAAATCATTTACTGCAACTAGCTTAGGGAGTACAATTTCCCAATGACATCTCCCGAGTGTTAGCTTGTGATCTAAGTGCTTTTATTTATAAACAGGGGCTCAAGCCCATGTGACCAAGAATGGAAATTCTTCCCAGTTTGCCTCTTACCTTAGGGACTCTGAGTTGAAAAAAGCAGTGAAATAGAAACCAGTCTTCAGAGATATGGAAAGTGGAAGTTGCCGTTGAGTTACTTTGATTATAAAAGGAATACAAATAATATTAGATTATTTCGAGGAGTTGGGAAAGATCCAGAAGTAATAGTGTGATTGTTTAAAAAAAGAAGAAGTGGTCTTTATCTGAGAAGACAGAGGAATGAATCATGGACAGACAATACTAGCTATATGTAAGAGAATTCTACAAACAAGAGGGCTAAGCGTGTAGCTCAGCTGATACAGTACTTTCTTTCTTTCTTTTTTTTTTTTGGGGGGGGGTCCAGTCGTGGGGCCTGAACTCTGGGCCTTGGCGCTGTCCCTCAGCTCTTCAGCTCAAGGCTAGTGCTCTACCACTTGAGCCACAGCGCCACTTCCAGCTTTTTCTTTTTGCTTATGTAGTGCTGAGGAGTCCAACCCAGGGCCTCAGGCATGCAAGGCGAGCACTCTACCACTGAGCCACTTTCCCAGCCCTGATACAGTACTTTCTAAGCAAGTGTGAGGCCCTGGCTTCAAGCTCAGTACCACAAGTAATTGAAGGAAGGGAGAGAGAGAGAAAACTTATGTCTACAAATTCAGATGGGGCATAAGTAAGATTATCCATTAGCTTTGGGGAAAGCTAGGTAAGTCTGAACATGGGGAAGAACACCGAGATGACCTCACTTTTTTGTTGTTGGTTTTTTAAGGTGCTGTGATCAAAGTAAAAGCTATAGACTAGGACTCAAATACCAATGGTTAGGAACTGCAGCTGCAGCAGGCATTGTGCCAGGAGCAGTCATAACAAGAAAAGGAACATCTCTAGTTACAGTTGAAATTGCACAGAATAATTTCCTAGTGACTCAAATTTGTGACCTTGGAGCAGAAGTGAAATAGAATTGTAAGGTTTGAAATTAGAAGAGTAAATGGGCATTGGGTCATTAAGAATAATTCTTTGTCAGTGGTAACAGAACTAAGTACCCCAAAATTTCCCAATGTAATTTGTAGATTTTTCAGAAGCAATATTAGTAGCTCTTTAAAATAGATATTTCACCTGTCTCAGAGTTTGTTAGAACAGCTATGAGACACAGTGTTACATTCTTGAGGATGTTAAATAAGTCAATTTAGGTGAAATACCTTGTTATCTATTTTGACCCCTGGTTTCTGCACAGTCCACAGCAGGAGCATCATTATTGGCTAATGCCTCACCTCTGACTCTCATGACATCACCTTTGTCTGTAACAAATCAAAATGTGACTCCTTTTGGGATGCTGGGTGGCCTTGTTCCAGTGACCATGCCCTTCCAGTTTCCCTTGGAGCTCCTTGGCTTTGGAACGGACACCGCTGGAGTGACAACCACCTCGGGATCTACCTCAGCCGCTTTCCACCACAGCCTAACTCAGAGTAAGTGGGCCTTTTTGTTTTTTACATGGCTGTCTAGTTGTGAGAAAGGGAACCACGTAAATTTATTCTGATTGACTGTTGTCCAGCTGGAGTTAAAGAAAAATAGATTTATTTTTTAAGAAATAAAATACGTTGTTTATTTCATCTATAAAGCTAATTACTAGATCATAGAACTTTGCTTACAGTTTTGAAATGAACCATCTAAACTTTCTATCTTAAGTTCATAAAATGAAGACTTTTTTTGTACACACATACACAATTTTTTTATTGTTTTATACTCCAGTTTTAGAAGGCCCTTGTACAGGACAAGTGCTGGTATTATGATAAGCGAGACTATTTTAAATTTGATCTAAGAGGATTCAGATAGTGCTTTAAGATCACTGACAAGGCTTTCTTCCTCTCAGATTTACTAAAGGGTTTACAACCAGGAGCTCAGCATGCAGCAACACTTTCCCACGCACCTCTGCCCACGCATTTACAACAGGCATTTAATGGTAAGAAAGTACCTATTTTTTCCCTTCCCTTTATGCTGTATATAGTTCCATAGACACATAGAGTAAAGATTTCTGAAAACAGGGTTAATGAAATGACAAAAGTTGAAAAAAAAATGTTCTTGAAAATAGTTTACCTCATTGGCAACAAACTTCTCTTTTTTGGGGGGGAGGGGGAGAGGCGGTCAGTTGTAGGGCCTGAACTCTGGGCCTGGGTGCTGTCCCTCTGCTTGAAAAGAGCTCAAGGCTAGCGCTCTTACCCTTGAGCCAGAGGGCCACTTCTGGTTTTCTGGTGATTAATTGGAGATAAGAGTCTCATGGACTGCCCAGGCTGGCTTTGAACCATGATCTTCAGATCTCAGCCTCCTGAGTAGCTAGGATTACAGGTGTGAGCCACCAGTGCCCAGCCAAAGAAATGGGTGGTAAAAAGAGATCTGTTGTTACACATGAAGACTTTTATATGGAAGTGATGATGAAGAATAGATTGGATGACTAGCAAGTCATATGTTGTAACAATGATTGAAAGTTTCTTGTGACTGCTTATATATATTGGCTAATTTAATTCTTAAAAGCCTGTGATTGTTAGATAATGATACCCATTTTGCAGATTAGGAAACTGAATCAGAAGCAACTTGTCCCAATAATATACTAATTAAATGGTTGATCCAAGTTTCAAACCCCTATGTGTATGTATATGTGTATGTGTGTTTGTATATGTATACACATATTTGTGTACATATACAATTACATGTATCCGTGTGTATTAAGTGCTGGAGATTGAACCCAAGGCCTTGCACATAAAGAGCATGTATTCTACCACTGGGCTGTATTCCCAATCAGCCTCTGTAGTATTAACCATTAAATTTTCTATATGTTAGCATCGATTAAATAATGATTCTGATTGGATTTTCTGTGTACAGACAGCCCCGCTAGCCCATGCTGAAATATGATGTTGAATAGTAGGAACTATGTATACATGACATGTCAACCTCACCTTGATGGACTGCTAATGTTATTCTCCAAGCCATCCATTTTCAGAATATGTTAGAGATAGAACTGCTTAACTACTACCTCCTGCCCCATGTTGTTTTTCTTCGTATTTTTTTTTGGGGGGGTCAGTAAAACCATTTGAGAAAAGGAGCTCACTGTGCAAACACTACCTTCTGAGCCATGTCTTCATCACTTAGCGTCCCTCTAACTTTGGAAGTTGGCTATAGTTCCACTATCCTTTCTGGCTAACACATTAACAGTGATATTTGAGATGGACATTGGTGACTCATGCTCCTCAGGAGACTGAAATCTGAGGATCATAGTTCAAAGCCAGCTTGGGCAGGACAGTCCATGAGACTCTTATTTACAGTTAATCACCAAAAAGCCAGTAGAGCTGTGGCTCAAGAGGAAGAGTACTAGCCTTGAGCACAAAAACTCAAGGATTATGCCCACATCCAAGCCCCAAGACTGGTACCAAAAATAAAAAAAAGATCTTTGGCTGAGTGCTGGTGGCTCAAGCCTGTAATCCTAGCTACTCCAGAGGCTAAGATCTGAGATCCAAATTCTAAGAAAGTCCGGGAAAACTCTTAGCTCTAATTAACAATCAGAAAACCAGAAACGGAGCTGTGGCTCAAAGTGATACAGCCCTAGCCTTGAGCAAAAAGAGCTCAGACTGAGTTAAAGCCGAGCCACCAACACACACACACAGAAAATTAATTAGTTCATTTTTAATTAATCTTTGAATCATGTTAGGACCAGAGGAGAGATGGGAGTTGTATAGCAAAGCAATCTTTAGGCAAGGAGTTGTCATTAATTTTCTCAAAGACTTCTGGCAAGTTGCCTTGGACCAATTCTTGAGAAAAAGAATATAAATCATAATTGGCAAAATGGGCAAGAAAAAGAAGGCATGCAGTCAGCAATCTTCATCCCAATTTGATGAGGTTTATAATCATTGTTGCTTCAGAATGACGAGAGTCCTTGCATGTGAACAGCTACTCAGAATCCTGAGTCCAGCTGAGGAACTAAGTTCACAGAGCATTTATTAATATGACCACCTGCAAGACATTAGACAAATGGGATTCTTTTTTTTTAATTATTATAAGGAAATAATAATTATTATTTCCCCCAGGGAGGGAGCACATGGTGCCCTCCACTATCTAGGCAGCTGCAGGGTCTGGGGGTAGGAAGTGAGGCAGATGGGAGCTCAGGTGGGTCTAGGTGGAGAGAGGGAGGGGCCAGCTGAAAGGCAGCAACTCCAGGGCTGGGAGGAGCTCCTGTCTGGGTGGAGCTGAGGTCCAAAGGTGGGCATAATGCTTACATTCCCTGCTCTGTTGTTTAATAAAAATAGGGGTACCAGGCCAGGTGGTATGGGCTGTTTTCTTCTGGAGCTACTTCCTGCTGTAAAGGGGTGAAGTAGTCAGGGGTCCAAGAAGCATCTGCTTGACGGTGGTTAGTAAAGGTCCTCCTTTTTCCATACAATAGTTATCTGGAGTAGGACTTAATGAGCTAGTGTTGGATGGGCGTCAGGTAGAGCACTTGGTCAGGAGAAAGTACCTTGGTGGTCCTCTGGTGACAGGAGTGTAGGACCTCAGGATAGGTCCTGGGGAAGCTGGTCGGACCCCCATCCGAAGTGGGAGGTGAGCAAATCCACTGGGGAACCTACAGGCCACAATGAAAGATCCACCACAGCCATCCCAGGGGACCACACAGAGGCAGGCAGGCACAGGAGAAAGATTATTATAAGGTTTATTAGAGGAGCCATATTTCCCCCAGAGAGGAAGCACATGGTACCCTCCACTATCTAGGTAGCACCACAAATGGGATTCTTGTGTCCTAAAAAGATCCCAGTATTCCAGCTCTGTATTTACCTTATTGTATTATTGTCTGGTCAGTACCACTGTTTCAGAATGAGAAAGGAAATGTGAAGTCAATGAAGTTAAAAATTGTTCATTTTTGTTTTGTTTTGTTTTTGGCTGGTTGTGGTGCCTGAACTCTGGGCCTGGGCCCTGTCCTTAAGCTCTTCAGCTCAAGGCTAGCACTGTACCACTTAAGCCACAGCACCACTTCCAAATTTTCTACTTATATGATGCTGAGGAATCGAACCCAGGGCCTCAAGCTTGACTCGCAAGCATGAGGCCCTGGGTTCGATTCCTCAGCACTACATAAGCAAAAAGAAAAAAAAAGCCAGAAGTGGCGCTGTGGCTCAAGTGGTACAGTGCTAGCCTTGAGCTGAAGAGCTGAGGGACAGCGCCCAGGCCCAGAGTTCAGGCCCCATGACCGGACCCAAAGAAAAACAAAAGCGAAAAATTGTTCATTTTTTAAGAAAACTTTGCACAGGTTGGAGGCGTGGCTAAATTGGTAGAGTGCCTACAACTTTTTGCTCAAGGCTAGTGCTCTACCACTTTGAACTACTGCTCTAATTCTGATTTTGGGGTGGTTAATTAGAGATAAGAATCTCAGGACTTTGCTGGCTGTACTGGCTTTGAACTAAGATCCTCAGATCTCAGCCTCTTGAGTATTTAAGATTAAAGGTTTGAGCCACTAGCACCCAGCTCCATGAGACTCTTATCTCCAATTAGTTACCAAGAAAGTTGATGTAGAACTATGGCTTAAGAGATAGTAATCTAACCTTGAACAAAAAATCTTAGGGGCAGCATCCAGACCCTGAGTTCAAGCCCCAGGACTGTCACCCCACCCCCACCCCCAAGAAAACCACCTTGCAGTCTGGAGGCATAGCTTCAGTGGTAGGGCACCAGCTGTAAACAAGAAAGCCGAACTATGGGCTGGGAATGTAGCTCAGTGGTAGAGTGCTTGCCTAGCATGCGTAAAGCCCCTGGCTCGATTCCTCAGTGCACCTGAAGTGGTGCTGTGGCTCAAGTAGTAGAGCACTGGCCTTGAGCCAAAGAAGCCTGAGTTCCAGCCCCATAACAGGCAAAATAAATAAATAAATAAATAGGCCTTACTAGAGTGTTTAGACTTCGTGTTCAAGTCCCAACACTCATACAAACACACATACACAAAAATTAATTTAAAGACGTTGCAGCATTACACATTGAGCCTGAGAATTAGGCTTAGGGTTTTTGAGTTTCAGAACCTCCAGTTGAGCAAGCTTCTTAACTTGACTATCACTTTCTTTGCTGCAAGCTGGGGAAGAAGACATTTTTGATAAACTTAATATAATAAAAATAAATTGAAACTTCCTAGTTTAGTTTTTGGTGCATAGTGAGAACCTAGTTGTTGTTTTTTCTTAATCTTGTCTCAAGACATAGGTTAGGGGGCTGGGAAGGTGGCTCAGTGGTAGAGCGCTTGCCTTGCATGCATGGGGCCCTGGGTTCGATTCCTCAGCACTACATAAGCAAAAAGAAAAAAGCCGGAAGTGGCGCTGTGGCTCAGTGGTAGAGTGCTAGCCTTGAGCTGAAGAGCTGAGGGACAGCGCCCAGGCCCAGAGTTCAGGCCCCATGACCGGACCCAAAAAAAAAAAAAAGACATAGGTTAGTAAACTGTAGGACCAGAGAGTCAATATTTTAGATTTTGGCCAATACTTTAGATTTTATGGATTCTCATAAAATTTTATTTACAAAAACCATTGGTAGTCCATCTTGGCCCTTGGGTTATAATATGCCAAGCTCTGGTGTAAAGACATCCAAGTTATTTGATCTGCTAATTAGCCAAAGTTTCTTTGAACAAATTTTTTAAAGAACTTTACCATTTTGTGAATTTTGTTTCACACATCAAATCATTTTTCTCTGTATATGCAGATTTATAGCCTTATTATAAATGGAAAAAGCTTTAGTTGTCACCTATATTGTTTTAATACTATTGTTTATATAATTTTAAAGTGATTTTTCTAACAGCTTTTCTTCAAGAGAGGCAGTATTTTGTTTTCAATTACATTATAGTAGTCTAGTTACTGGATATGGCCTCATTTAGCCTTATGATTGGGTTATTGCTCTGTAATAATTTGTCCTGTTTAGTACATAGTAATGTGTTTACATTTCTACCATTCATGTCTTCTTCCTTGAAGCAAAGTTTTCCTTCCCTTATCTTTCTCTTAGGTCTAAGTTGACTTTGGGGCTTCATTTTCCTTGTTAAAAACCCATGGCTTACTGGAGATTTTCTCTATATTCTGCTGGCCATTGGGTTCCAACCTTGCCCAAGTACTTTTTTTCTCTCCTGTCCCAGTTTGCATAGGTATTTAGCAGAGGCTTAACTGGAGCTATATCATGCCAAAGGAAAAATAATAATAATTTTACTTATAAGAAAACAAGCTGGGTACTGGTGGCTCACGCCTGCAAACCTAGCTACTCACGCCTGCAATCCTAGCTATTAAGGAGGCTGAGATCTGAGGATCACGGTTCAAAGCCAGCCCGGGCAGGAAAGTCCGTGAGACTCTTTTTTTGGGGGGGAGGGGGGACCTGAACTCTGGCCCTGGTTGCTGTCCCTCAGCTCTTCAGCTCAAGGTTAGCGCTCTACCACTTGAGCCACAGTGCCACTTCCGGCTTTTTCTGCTTATGTGGTGCTAAGGAATCAAACCCAGGGCCTCATGCATGCAAGGCAAGCTCTCTACCACTGAGCCACCTTCCCAGCCCCCTGTGAGCCTCTTATGTCCAGTTAACCACCAGAAAACTGGAAGTGGTGCTGTGGCTTACGTATTCGAGTGCTAGCCTTGAGCTGAAGAGCTGAGGGACGGGGCCCAGGCCCAGGCCCAGAGTTCAAGCCCCATGATCGACAAAACAAAAAACAAAAAAAACAAGCCTGATGCCGGTGGCTCATGCCTGTAATCCTAGCTACTCCGGAGGCTGAGATCTGTGGGTTGCAGTTTGAAGTCAGCCCCAGTAGGAAAATCTGTGAGACTATTATCTCCAATTGACCACTCAAAAAAACAGAGTGGCATTGTGGCTCAGCGTGGTAACGCACTAGCCTTGAACAAAAGAGCTCAGGGACAGAACTGAATTCAATCAAGCCCCACAAATGACAAAATGTGTGTGTGTGTGTACACATATGTGTATATATGTGCGTGTGTGTGCATATATATATATATATATATGTATGCATTGGACAGGGTTGGCTCCAAGGTAAATAAATATATCCATTTGTCAAAGAGCTTTTAGAGGACTAAAAACCAGCTGAACCATAGTCATTTGAGATAGGAGGGTCATTGATGAGCTTTTATCTCCTTGATGTTTAATCAGCTTCTGTTCTTGCTTTGTTTTTTATTTATTTTTAAAACACAAAACCATCCCAATTTTTCATGTTTTTCGCAGATGGAGGCCAAAGTAAAGCGGACACTAAGTTACCACGGAAAACTCAGTGACTTCCCAGCAAGCAGAGGGAAGTGTTCAACTGACTGATGGGATCTACCTGATGGGAAAGTCCTTATGTGGTCACAGGGCTGCTGTTTCTGTCGATGTTTACATTCTCGTCCCAAGCACTGTGGTGAGGAGGAAAAGGAAGGAAAACTACTTGAGCAAGCCAGGTGCAGGAGGAAGAAATGCTTTTGTGCAAAGTTAGTGACCTTTGGTCTCTCCTAAAGAAAGACAAAGTTACCATGCTAACTGACTTGAAAGAGACTCAGCTGTCAAACCCACAGAAGTACAAATTTGATTCTACCCCCTCCACCCCCCCCACCCTCCCGGAGGAAGGAAGTTGAGAGGATTTGGGTAAATACCATCCATCCTGGGGATTGGATCTGAATACCCTAGACATGATTGCATAATAAAAAAATCAGACCTGGAATTAGGCCAGTTGGTCAGGAGTAATGATCATGTCTGTTGAAGTAGACAGTATATAGCAAATTCACCACAAAACCAAGAATGACTCTATGTCTCATACAGCTAGTGGCTGAAGAAATAACTGTACCCTCAACTATCCTGAGCAAACTTGAATCTTCCCTGGTATGTAGCAACTCCCCATGTGAATCAGTGGTCTCAAGATGGTTCAGGAAAGTCATTTTAGACAGTGATATATATTACTAAATCATCTAGATTTTTAAGTCAAGAAATTGAGCCTACTGCTCTAAATAGACAAAAGTTGGATGTCCCCTTTTTGTGAAAGGGCAATTTCAATTTCCCCTCAGAAGCCAGGTACTTAACTCGTTTCTTCAGGTGATTGGCACGTCTAGTATTTAACTGGTCTCATTTCTAGTCTTGATGCTAAGATGTGACTGTGTTCACATTGTTTACTTTAAAAAAGGGAGTCTTTGTTACAGGGCTGCTGCTTTGCTGCTCTTCACCCTTGCCAGCCTCCAGCAAGAACTGAAAACTTCCCTCTAATTCACCTCACATCACATTGCTCTTTCTTTTCTTTCAGGTAGTGGTACTTCAGGTGATATTAGCTGTTGACCTAAACAAATAGAATGTGGATGTGTCTTCATGGGCCAACCAAATAGCATACACACACACACACACATATGTATATATATAGACATATATACATATATATATATATATATATAGGTTGTTTTTAAGAAAAAAAATTTAAGAAAGTATTTTTAAAGGGATGAATTACTATATTCGGATCATGGGTACAAATGATTATCTTTTATAGCAATCACAGTGTAGTTTTACTCCCTATATTCAGTGCCGTGAACAAACAATGGAGCATCTGGGATTGTAAAGCTTTACTAATACTTATTCAAGTAAACACACAGATAGTAGGACTCCTCCGTTACTATAGCTTCCTACTGCAAATAGCATAATCAACAAAGGAAGTTAAGGGAAGGTGGATAGTTTACTATGAATACATGTTATTCTATTTTGCCTCATCTTTCTGATGTCACTTGAGTTTTAAACTTATGGATATTTTCAAACTATAAGAGTGGTATGTATGAACTCTAAGAAGTGTAACTTGGTCTATTTATGATGAAAGACTAACCTCAAAACACATCACTAGACCGGTCATAGCAAGATATTTTTCCTGTTTTTATTATATATTATTTTATACTATTGTTTATTCAAATAAAGAATGTTAACCTAGGCCTTTTTTCTTTAAAAAGTGAGTCCCAAATAACCCACTGGACTATAAATAACCCCAGATCTGTTCAGACCCATATTCTTATAGTTTGACCTCAGAGTCACTTTGGCTTGCTTACAGCAAAAGACTAAATAAATAACTGAAAACTTTAGTTCCAAGAACTTACTACAGCAAGGGGAAATCATTATTTCAACAGAATCATTGAGGCTGGTTCTGGTGATCTGTAATCCCAGCACTTAGAATGCTGAGGCAGGAGGATCTAGAATCCAAGGCCCGGGTTGGGTTACATGGCTAAGCAGGGCTGCACAGCAAGTTCCAGACTGGTCCTGGGACTACATAGAAGACTGTCTCAAAAAAAATCAAAGAGGGAGAGAAATGTAAAAAAAAAAAAAAAATCACTGATATAATTCCTTGACTGACTCCTCACCAGTAAAATAAATAATAGATTTTGTGCAAACCCTAGTAGCTATTTTGGAAGGAACTGAGATGCTACAAAGATGTTTGACTTGAATTTAGTATGTTGATGAAGAGTCATTCAATTTTTAATTGGGCAAGCTTACTCAACTCTTGATTTATTCCAATATAGGGAACCTCTTGGTTTGGCCTTTGTTAATATTCCCTGGTTTGGTGATAGTAGTTTTCCTTTGAGTAGGTAGCCTTCATTTGACTTCCTCTTCCAAGAGAAGTCAGAATGCGTATTAATCTCTTCCTGCTGAAAACTATGTATATGTATATACATATGTGTGTGTGTATATACATGTAAATCAATTGCTAGTTTAATTGCAATTTTTGTTGTTTTGTTTTGAAAGCCAGTACTGAGGTTTGAACTCAGGGCCTCTTTCTTGCCTGTTTTTTTTTTTTTTTTGCCGAAGGCTAGAACTCGTAATGCTTGAACCACACCCCCACTGCTGACTTTTTGCCTATTAATTGAAGACAAGAATCTCAGATTTCTCTGCTCAGGCTGGATTTGAACTAATATCCTCAGATCTTAGCCTCCTGAGTAGCTAGGATTACAGATGTGAGTTGCCAGCATCTGGCTTAATTGGAGTATCTTAAATCCATCAATTCTGAATCATAATATGTGAAGATCCCTGATGACCCTTTATCACTATTAGAAAAGATTCTCCCTGTGTGATTTGATTAAAATATATTCTATTGTCATCAGTCTTGATTCCTTGAGGACTGCAGTCAGATCCCCATTTTGGTGGTTTCCCTCCCCTTCTCACTGGTCATTTTAGTCACGACCTTCCTTTTATGTTGTACAATTGAGTCAAAATCCTTATTTTTCTCTGTAGATAGGGTATGAACAGAGTTTGTACGTGTAAATACAAACATTTCTAGATGATAATATTAAAAATGGTGTCCACACTTTATGGCCACCAGTCTTTACAGTTTTTATTACTAAAAACCAAACATATAAGTTGGTTATTTTTTAACACAGAGACTTGTGACTCATACTGTATTTTTGCACTTGAAATCAAGTTAAGTTATTTTTTAAAATGGTGAGTAACTGAAAAGGCTATCTGTAGTATATGTCTAAAGATCATTAGCAACATCCAAATGCAAAAATATCAGCACACTTAATTATATCCCACTCAGCGGGATTCTTGATTCAGGAAGATAAAGCTGTTCGTTTCCGTCTTCTCTTGGAAGCTGCCTTCACGATATTTAAGCTGTTACTGTACATACAGAATAATCCTCAGTATTCACAAGCAATAACGGTCATCACAGCTGTCTTCAGAGACAGCAGTGCTGGGCCTTGGAGACTGTTTGGGAGCAAAGTGTCAAGCTCAGTCAGAGCCTCCAAAGTAAATGCAAGCAATAATTTCCACTCTCATTAAATTATTCTTTCTCACTGTTTCTGAGATAAGAGGGTAAAAAAATCTTTAAGACAGGTTGAAAAAGATTCTGGGAAAAGAAGTGAGGTTAATCTAGCCATAAAGTCCCAATACTTGGACGAAATCAAGCAGAGGGGGTTAGTACCTTCTTTCATGTCCACCACCCCTTTGATGGATGTTGTTAGCCCAAATTTTATCATTCTGTGTCACAGACACTGGGAAGGATATCACACCACCAAGATGAGGGGCTGAGCGGGCACATACATGTTTGATTACTGTGGGTTTGACACCTGTTTGAAAACAAGTTCGTGGAACTGGTTTTAACCCAGGATATTTTTTTTCCCCCAAAGCAGATCTAAATTGTTTACGGCCTGGGGATGGAAAGGGCAGGCCCCTCTAGTCTTTCTCCTCTGGTTGCCCTCTCCCATACCCCTTTCCACCTTGTGTACTTGGTTCAAGACATTTTCTGAAATGAAAATTCTACTGTTAATTCAAACTGCCATTGATGATGGGGACTCTGTCTTGGGATCATCTCTGAACTCCAGTTTATCTATCCTATTTGCTGCTACATTTGTAAAATGAACTTTGCCTGTATTGGTTGACTTTAATCTAATGACAGATCTTTATTTCTAGGAGTTTTTGTCATATAATTTGACCCAGGTATAGAATTAGGATATTTTATTTTAGGAGTGTACCATAGAAGCACACTGGTCCCTGTATTTTTATCAGTTAGGTTTTGAATTTATTTGTTATGTTTGTTGATTTTTGTTTTTCAAGTTGGAAATGGAAGAATGAGGAAAATCTATAATAATCAGGCCAAACTTGAGAACTTTCCCTGTGCTTGAGCATCGTAGTTTCTGCTGACTTAAATGTTTTCCAAGCGGGCACTTTTACTTCCTATTGTGCATGTATAAGTTTTGTTTGTTTTTTTGCTTTTGAGGTGCTTTTGGTTTTGTAAAAAATAAGCAGAAGAAAAATGCAGTAGTAGATAAGTGATTACATACATATTATGCAATTTTATTTTATAAGAATTTAAAGGAAAAGTTTAACTCTTTGTAAATAATTTCTTAGCTCTGGTAAAATACTTATATAACTCCTCTAAACCATGCTCAATTCAGGCCTATGTCTTTGTTAAGTGCCTTTTTTTTTTCTCCCCCCCCCCTTCCCTTTGAAATTGTTCTCAGACATCCTCAAGTATAGACTGATGAGTGAGGAGATTCAGGAGGAAGAATCTCAAACTTGCCAATGTTATGTCATGCTGAGATGCTCTTCTTTATATGCAGATGGATATGTGTGTAAGATGCATGCATGCACATGCACACATATGTGAGACAAATAGCTGCTGTGCCCTTGAATCCTTTCTCAACATTTACAAGACTCTGCCTTGTTCCAGTGCTTATAGTTGATTAAAACAGGCAGATTGGGAAGTAGTCTTTTCCCAAAATGCCATCTTCCCCCTTGGAATATTGGTAGAAGGTAACAAATATGTGTTGCTTATTCTAAATAAAATAAACTTAGTGGACTTGGTGACTATTCCTAGATGTAACCAACTGCTCTGTGCCCTTCAAATGTGGCATAAGTAACAGAGGAGAACTAATTGGAATAACAAAAGAGAGCACCCACTTGGGTAGCAGGTGTACACCTAGGAGGGCTAGAGCTAGAATCATGAGATATGGTAACTAGTATATTGAAAGAA